AAGTCAGTTTGAAAGGAAATGTTGCAAAACGTGCATAGTGTAAATAACAGGTGATGGCTTTGGTTTCTTCTTTCTGCTTGTGTGTATTTAAAAATTTTTTTTCTAGGTGCTCCTGTCTGGCTCAGTCTGTAGAGCGTGCAACCCTTAATCTCAGGGCTCTGAGTTCAAACCCCACGTTGGGTGTGGAGCCTACTGACAATAATAACTTTTTTCTAAAACGAGTACATATTGCTTGAGAAAAACATGTCTGCACCACCCAGAATTCAAAACCTTCCATCTCTTTTGGACTTTCCCATCCAGGTGGGTCCACTGCCCATTGGCAGGACAATCATGATTGATTCGGTCAGTAAACAGGCCTCACCTTCCCCACCACCCAGGAGAGTGAAGCCTTGTCCCCATCAGCTTATCACCACAAAAAAACCCTAACCAAACAATGACCTGCACATAGACACAAAGATTACACACCCATTACACACCCAGAAGAAAGCTCTGGAACTCCTAAGTTAGAACAATGTTCTTTTTTTAAATTATTATTATTGTGTTAAGAACACTTAGCATGAAATCTACACTTTCAGAACAATGTTCATTTTACCCAGAAGGAGCTGATCAGTCTACGTGAGCCAAAGGAGTATGGGATCTGAGCATATTTCAGCAGAGTTCGGCGTTACACACATTTTACACAATAAAATCAGAAAAATAATCCAATGTAGGTTTAGGGTAGCATCATGGGATAGGGCAAAGAATGCTAGAAGAGAGATGGAGAACGTGAGTTTTGGTTTCAGTTGTCACTTTTTAGCCATAGGACTGTGAAGATCTGAGCAATGAATCCTCCTTGTCTGTGAAACTATAGCAACAGACTTGATGTCTACGGTCTTGTCCAGTTCCAACACTCACAGCCCTGTATTTAATGCCCTGTATATCCACTGCTCTCCCACTGTCAGGAAGACACCTCTGCTGTCTTCTCTGGATCTGGCCGGCTTGCTTATAGAAGAAGACAGCAGACTGGGAAGGGTGGAGTCCTGGAGCTACACTGACCCGTTACGTATTAAACACACACCACTTAAGATCCAGGACCAGTTGCAGGAAAGAAGACAAGATTCCAGGCAGTTAGACATTGCAGCAAAACCAAGAAAGCATCTGCAAGGGGAATTCATGCTGAGATTGCAGGACATCCCAAGAGCGAGGGAAGGCAAGGGGGTTGGGAACCCAGAATGGGGGTATGTTCAGGAATCCGAAAGGGGGGCTGTCAACTGTCAGCTGGCAGGTAGTAATGGAGGGTCAGCCACAAGGCTCGTAATTCAGAGGCAAGACCAGGGGAGTAAGCACAGGAAAGCATCTCGCCTGGGGGATCTGGGCATTAAGGGGGTGCCAGCAGGGAGCAGGTGAGAGGGCTCCACAGGCATGATGTGACAGGGCTGCTCCTCTCCCCTGAGTTAGTGCATACTGGCCAGACAGCTATCGACAATGTGATGCTCGGAGCAGAACCTTCCAGTTCCCAATTCTCACTGATTCTCCCGGAGGGAGGGGCACCACATTGGCACGTAGGCTGGAGGAAGTGACTGTCTGGAGTTACCTACCTGATTCTTCCCTTTCTGTCAGTGGCTCTGGGATGTGTAAGTGCTGAGCACTTGCTTGATGTCTGAAGGTCCCGTCTGGTCTGGCTCTCTTACGATTGATAAACTCCATTTTTTTATTGCTTACCTGGCCCCTGACGCATGCTTGCCCAAACTCCAGGCCTGCTTCCTTGGTTCTGGCATCCTGCCTGGTCCGCTGCTGGCTGTGACCTGGACATGATGAGAATGATACCCCCGAGGCCCTTAAATTTACTTGGGGCCTGACTTGGAAGCTGTAGTAGAGCCCTGACATCGTTCTGGGCCCTCTGGATGAAACCTTCCCTTCTATGAGGGAGGTAGGATCCCACTGGCCTAGAACCTCTGGCCTGGCCTTTCTCATCGGAATGTTTGGTGGGAACCCCCAACCCTGAAGGGATTCTCTTTCAGCCTTTCCCACAGAGCTGCTTCTCAAAGAGAAGACAGGGCAGATGCATGGCCTTGATATCTTAATGTGGTTTGGGTACTCTCTTCTGCCGAATGGATCCACAGGATCCTTAAAATGTGGATTCAGTGATGCTGACCTGCCCATGCAGGAGACTTTGCCCCATACTGGGAAGCTGCACCATGGTTGGGGGGGGGGGTGGGGAGGGCGCTAACACTCCCCAGCTACCAAGCTTCCTTGTCTCACTACGTTGGAGTGAGCTCACCTTACGTAGAGTTGTAAAGTTCTTCGAAGTTTCAAACGTCATCTGAAAGTCAAACCAGCAATGACCCATGCTGGTCTAAAAGGGTTTATCTTCCTCAATGTCCAGGAGATCAGAGATTGGTCAAATGGGGCCTTTTGGCCTCCACCACCAACAAGGAAGCCAGAGAAGTTCTGCTGTGGAACGCGTCAGCCTGTATAAGTTGCGGCCCTGACAGGAGCCGCCTCTCTTCTGAGGGCAAACACGCGGAGGAGGTGGCCGCCTCCTACTCCATGGAAATACAATCTGCACACTGCCAACACCCCTGCCCATCCGTGACTTAGCTCTGGGTCTGCACCTGTGTGTCAGGAACCTAACCCCCAAGTTCCATTCTTTGTCTTTGTTCCCTGAGGATTAAGTCAATTACTCCCATTAAAAAGAATACCCACCTCCATCACTGCCCTGCCTCAGCGTCTTCTGATTTTCACCCAGATGCCCGTGCTGTTCCCAAGTACACCGTCACCAAATGACCTACCGCAGCACGTTCCCCAAGTTCTCCAGGATCTGCAGGCCTACTTCTGGCGCCTTCAGCGAACACGGCCTCCTGTGAGCCACTAAGGGCTGCCACGAAGCTGACTACACGTGGGGGCGGCCTAAGTCACCTGCTGTCACCCTGAGATAGAGACTTTGATACGAAACACCGGCATTGATACATAGGAACTGAGACTCACCAGTCATCAGTGCCTCAGGACAGCATCAAAGACCCATGGTAGTGGCTGTAAGTGTCCCTGAAGAAAGATCCTTGCCTTTTCATTTCAAAACGTAGGAATGTAGACAGATTTGGCCCTCTCTTCAGCTTACGGCCCCACCTTCAAAAAAGAAAGACAAGACTGAAGGAATGTGTATCAGATAAAACCCTGAACCAAGTAACTCTAGTTATTTTAAAAAACAGAGGAGTGAACACATAAATAAAGCTCTCTCCCACCGCATCCAGGATGAATTTTCTATTTGAGGGGCTGAGTTTATGCTCTAGCTTCTTCTCTTTCCAGCTGGGTAATTTTGGGGAAAAGAAAGCTAATAGGCCTCTAAGCCCAGATTTCTCTCTCTCTCTTTAATGTTTATTTACTTCTAACAGAGAGAGAGTGAACAGGGAAGGGGCATAGAGAGAGGTTCTGAAGCACAGAGCCTGACACAGGGCTCGAACTCACAAGCGGTGAGATCATGACCTGAGCCGAAGTCGGACGCTTAACCAACCAAGCCACGCAGGCGCCCCATCTAAGCCCAGATTTCTCAACTGCAACACAAATATAATGATTTCCTTCCTGGACTGTTGTAAGAAGACGCTGAAAACGCTTTGTCAACTGCTAAGTGATAGTTGCCTATTACTTATTGTTATTTTATTGTATCTCCCCCTCTTAGTAGATGATCTCACTTCCCACTTCTCAGAGAAAACAGACACCATCAGACTGGAATCCCTCATCTTGCCGACACCAAACGTGCAACCTACTGGCATCTGCTCCATGATTCCATCTGCTAGAATCGCTGGGCTCCTCCATCTGAGCCCAGTCCCCCTCCCTCAGCCTTGTGGGCATCCCTCGTGGCTGCCTTAGGAAATCACGTTCAGCATTGATGAGTCTTCCTCTCCTGTACTTTGAACCTCCCCCTCTCAGTTGGATCTTTTCATCTGCCCTTAATGGTGATCTAGTGTCTCCCATTACAACAAAATAAATTCTTTATTAAGCTGTTGTGATTTTAAATTAAAAAAAATTTTTTTTAAGTTTATTTATTTTAGAGAGAGAGCGTGAACAGGGGAGGGGCAGAGAGAGAGAGAGGGAGACACAGGATCCGAAACAGGCTCCAGGCTCTGAGCTGTCAGCACAGTGGGGCTCAAACCCACGAACCAGGAGATCATGACCTGAGCTACAGTCGGACACTTAACCAACTGAGCCACCCAGGCGCCCAAAGCCGTTGTGTTTTTAGAGTTGCCTCTCCATTTGTTCGGGACAGGCATGAAGCTTAGGATGTGGCTCTTCTCGTCCTGCGGATAAAAGGGACATATCTTTGTTTTGGGGGACCCAGGCTTCAAAATGGGATGTCATCTGCTTTGCTTGGTCATTTAAGTTGGTACTATTAACAGGATTATTAAGCTCCTGCAGTATTAGAGAGTTCTCCACTCCACCACCACTACCAAAAATATATTTAGAGGTCAAAGGTTCTTTTTTTATTTAAGATTTTTAAAATTATTTTTAAGTAATCTCTATACCCAACACGGGGCTCGAATTTATAACCCGGAGATCAAGAGTCACATGCTCTACCGAATGAGCCAGCCAGGTGCCCCGGAGGCCAGGGATTCTTAAACATTTTTCTGCCCTGGATCCCTTGGCAATCTGGGAAATCCACGGCTTCCCTGTCAGAATAATACTAAATGCATCAAATAAAACACAAAGGGAACCACTAATGTAAAAAAAAAGTTATTATAAAATTGTGATATGGTAATGTATCTGGTTCTTTATAAAAGCATTAAATGGGAAAACGTGCACACAGGTAAATACCACCATAGTTTCAAAGTAGTGATGAACATGAAGGCTGGTGTAAGAAATCTGCAGCAGCTGTTGTATAATGGAAACATCTGCGATTTTTATGGGCGGTGAAGACACAGTACAACAGCTGTAACACCACTGTGCTTTGCTGCCTATATGCATAACTGAAGGACATGGGGAATTTTAGGTACAAGTCAGTGAACATAAAGATTTAGGTCTTGGGGTGCCTGGGTGGCTCAGTTGGTTAAGCATCCAACTTCACTCAGGTCACGATCCCACGGCTTATGCGTTCGAGCTCCACATCGGGCTCTGTGCTGTCAGCTCAGAACATGGAGCCTGCTTCGGATTCTGTATCTCCCTCTCTCTCTTCCCATCCCCCGCTCACAGTCTGTCTCTCTCAAAAATAAATAAACATTAAAAAACATTTTTTTTTTTTTAATTTAAGACTTAGGTCTTCCCAACCAAGGTTATGGACTCTGGATTATGCCCATGGATTCTGGGACAAGAGCTCCTTTCTTATCTTGTTTTGTTTTAAAGGTGTGTGTGTGTGTGTGTGTGTATGTGTGTGTGTTTTATCTCTGAAAGAGAGAGAGCAAGGGAGGGGCAGCAAGAGAGGGAGACAGAATCCCAAGCAGGCTCTGCCCTGTTAGTGCAGAGCCCAAAGTGGGGCTCGAACCAACAAACCCATGAGATCATGACCTGAGCAGAAGTTGGGTGCTTAATCAGCTGAGCCACCCAGGTGCCCCAGGAGTCCCTGTTTTAGGTTGTACTGTTTCTGAACGTGGTTTTGTTCCTTTTGTCCAAGAGCTATCCATAGGAGATTAGGAGCATGAAGTAGCAACCACGGAGAGGGTGGAAACATCACTTCACCATGTCGTACCAATGCCATTCTGGGACATTTGGCCAAACTCCTTTAGTTTTAGACTTTGCTAATGGACTGGTTAATATTGTGATATCATTGAGGGCCAAACTTAACTGATGAGTGGGCTTGGACTCCTGTAAGACACAGGCTTTCCACAGGGAATCCCATAAATTACTTGGGATGGAAAGTCTGACAAGAGGCAGGAGAATGTGTGTATGCGATTTGTAAACAAAACTTGAAATACTCTAACTCTTATATTACAGCCTGCTTCTCTATATAATGTCACAATATATTTTGTCACAATAGGTCAACAAATACAATTATAAAATATGATCAATGGCTACATAGTATTCTAAGCATATACCGTAATTTATTTAATTAACACCCAGGTTTCAGCATGTGAGTTCTTTCATTATTATGTAAATAGCGCCCTGATGGGTGCTGTAGATTAAATCTTTGTCCACGGTCTATTTTTATTTCCTTGGAATATTTCTATAAATGGAATAGCTGTGTCACAATTTAGTAATGTCGCAACGACAGCAATGCATATTTTAAAGATTTTTTGATCAGTGCTGTCAAATCGTCCTCCAGAAAGGTTGTTCCTGTTCGTATCAGAACTGGAATCTTTGACCTTGCCTCAGAAGATGGCAAAGAGACCGGGAGAATGCCTCTAAATAGTGAGCAGAGGATCCTGTAGCAGAAGCCGGAAGAAAGCAGGCCAGTGTCGTGCCTATGATGTTCTGCTTTTCTCTGGTGCTGGAAATGCCCTTTAGGCAGAAGGTGGACCAGGACTGAGTCTTCAAGGCCTGGGGTCCCTTGTGTTGACTTGATGCTGATCGTTTGGATAAACCCAGCCTCATCGAACGAGGGGAGTGGTCTGTATCCACGTTTGGACCAGACTAATAGTGAGAATACTGGAATCAGAGAGCACCCCAGAGGCAGAGCAGGTTCAAGGGGGAAGGCATGAACAGAGCTGGCCACTTTGTCTGTTACTTCCTGACCTGGACATTCCCATCAGCACTGCTTCTCCACCGGAAAATAGGGGTTGACTGGCACCTGCTGTAGTAAAGAAGGCTGTTTCTTTTCCTCCTTCTCTTCCTCCTTCTTCCTCTCCTCCTTCTCCCCCCCATCCCCCACATTCTTTCCTTCGCAGCTAGACAGTATATTCCAGGAGGGCAGAAGCCATGTGATGCTTCTTTTGTAAAACCAACAAGAGTAGATATGGGGGAAAACACTTGGGAATTCTTCTGTCAAAATAAGGTATCAGGTCTTGCCACGGTCACACCGGATGATTGAAATCTCAGCAGACTTACTAACCGCTCTCTCTTCTCTCTCATGGTTTTGTAGATGCAGATTTGGTTTATTTCTTCATGCACAGACACCAAATATCAGTTCTGTCTCCATAATCCCATCTCCCAGATCTGCAATTAGATTATTAGCCTCTTCTCTCCCATCTCTCATCTGGGATTCCACAGAATGTAGTGATTATCACCCCAGAGTTTAGTCTCCATTCAGACTCTAAAGGTTAAAAAGATGCATCTATTAGAGTTGGTCTCTTGCCCTGGGGACACCCACACAGCAGACCCCGGCCAGGTGCTCTGCTCCTGCCCAACCTTAGGAGGGACATGAAAAGCTGGTGAGGAGCAAACATCCCCTGGATTAGCATTTGCTCTGTCATTGGTGCTGACCTTGTCTGCTGTCTCACACTTCAGGTTTGTGGGTGCTGCTTAGACCCACAAACAAAAAGAGTCTCCTTGCCCTTTCTTGTGTGACTTTCCTAGACTTCACTTCTTGCCTGCTTTAACTGTGGTGCCCACTTGACCCCTGCCACGTACATCACGCTTTCTCTCAAGTCTTTTTTTTTTTTTTTTT